TGCATACAGCAAATGACAGAATTCTCATCTATGGGAGTTCAGTTACAATAACTTTGTCATCTTAAGTCTCAAGTTAAAAAAAAATAAACAGAGCATATGCAAGCTGCTAAATCATGTAAATGCTTTATGCTTATTAGAGACGCTCATGACTAGACAACTGCAGGGAGACAACACCTGTTACAAATGATCTGCGAGGGAGCATTTCCTCCTTGGTGTGCAATGTGCAGCAAATGCTCATGAAGAGCTGGGAGGGAGGGTTAGTCACAAACAACAGTAACTTCTGGTCTACAACCAGAATTCTATTTTGCCCTGTAAGACCAATCATTTGGAAATACTCTGCATTTCTGAGTGAATAATATTTTCACTTAATTTTACCAGGAAACATGGTAAGTTTTTTGTTGTTGTTGCTTTGTTTTCTTAAAAAAACTGACAAATCTTTGTTCTCTTAAGTCTGGAGTACATATGTGTCACAAATATAACACGATGCTCAGTTCCCTAGTTAGTATGTCTGATTTCTATGCGTTAATCTAATACTTTCTAATGTTTTATTTTATCCCATAAGAATAGAGATTTCCATAACAAAAATGCCAGATAACATCAATACAATGCTCAGTAAGAAGGAAGCACTTCATCCTCGCTCCAAATGTTTTCCCATCTACCTTGAAGAAGGAAAATGTGTTCCTTGAAGAGCATTTTAGAATTTGAAAATAAGGAAGATAAGTGAAAGGAAATAAAACTAGTTTTAAGTGTTTTAATGCCAATTTTCAGATGATATTCTTGTTTCTTAAATTTTCTTAATGGATATAGACAACATTTTGAAATTAAAATGTAGGTATTACTAGCTGTAGATACAGAAACTGCTTCACTAATCAATCTTTAAACTTTACTACTTTGGGGTTTAAAAATATACCACTGGTTTATCAAAATACTTCTATAGTTATTTGAAACATTACTTTTCCTCAAAAAGATTTTCCTTCTAAAGTCGCAAAATCAGATTCACAAAATAAATATTGCATCCCAAAATTTATGACAGCTTAGCTTTTGCAGTTTATTTTTTGAAATATTTAAAATATTTCATTTTTAATGAAATTTAAATATTTCTTATTTAAATATTTGAAATACATAAAAACAATTGTCCATATTTGATCAACAGAAAGCTGCTACATTTATGTTTCACTAATGCTGTAATGTTATAAATGTAGTAACATTCTGGTGGCTGAGCAAATTATGCAGTTTGATTGTTTTTTGAGTTTCAAACACCCACTGACCTCCATTTCTGGACTGGGTACGTGTACAAGGGGCGTTTAGGGGGTTCGGTTGATCGTAGCTTTTTGCGGGTAGTTTGATGGTGTGGGGCGGTGGGGGTTTGTTTTGCGGCTCTGCAGGTGGAGTTGTATTTGCCGGAGAACTATTGGGGGTTAGGGTTGCGGTATGGGACCTCTCTAGAACACTGCCTAGAAAATGAGCTTATAAGGCGGGATTTGTCTATGCTTTATGCCTTGTATTTTCTGGAAACGGATGGTGCTGTGGATTTTCTTCTTTCTGTGTAACTTCATTTTCAGCTGGAATTGAGTCTTGGTGGCATTTCATATTAGGCTCCTATTGTATCCCTCTATGTCGCAGGGTTTTTTGGGTCACTTGTGGGGGTGCCTTGGAGGTCTGTTTTGAGTTCGGTGTCGGGTTTGTCTTGGGGGGGCATGTATGGCGCCTCGATGGACGTGTGGTATTAGCGTTGGATTTGTTCTGTTTGTTTTTTGGGTGTTTATAGGTTCTGAAAGGTTCATGTTTGCTGGGCCCCGTATGGGGGGGGATTTGGCGTGTGTCGATAGGTGGCCTTTTTTATTGAACTTTTTCCATTACAAACGTTGGTTTAGGGTGCATGGTTACGTGTGATTTATCTACATTATGGCTGGGGTTGGTGGTGGGTATATTGTTAGGTGGCCGTGGTTGTGATCTGGTCGTTTTAATATTGATGTCTTGGTTGTCGGTTTTTTTATAATATCTGTGGTTTAATCGTGGTCGTCTTTGGGGGTCTGTTGTTGGGCTGGATGTATTGGTAGTGTCGGGGCCTTGGGGATCTGTATTGGTTTTTTTTTTGTGGGGTGGAGTATATGGTATGTTTATTTCTGATTAGGGGGGGGGGGGTGCCGTCTTCTCTAGTTTGGCAGGCTTCGGGATTATTGAGGTTATGATTTGGTATAAAGTAGATATTTTAGGGCGGAGGTGTCTAATAAGTACGCTGATTGGTGTTATTAGGGGTGTTCTGCTATCCTTTTTAAAGTGTAGCAAAGGAATGATTTTTCTGGGTATTGCGTTACTATTTAAAAACAAGTAACACTATTTAATTGCTGAACAATTTACCTTCATGTAGTTGTGCTTTAAAGAGTAACAAATGCTTTCAAATGTTTTTTACTTGCTTGTCTCATTGTCTCACAAATACACAAGCAGACAGCAAAGCAGGAAGGAATAAAGGGTTAGAATTATTTTTATTAGTCATCAAGTTGGCAAAAAGTACAAGCATTCATTGCGACTACGACCTGGAGGGTTTTCTACAGAATGAAGGAATGGTACTGCAGTAACTATTTTAAAAGGAGAATTGTTGACACCATTTCAAGTATATGTTATTATTGTTATTTAAAATTTTGTTTTATTTTTATTGGAGAGTCAGATACACAGAGAGGAGGAGAGACAGAGGAAGAGCTTTGTCCACTGATTCACTCCCCAAGCGGCCACAATGGCCAGAGCTGAGCTGATCCGAAGGCAGGAGCCCGGAGCTTCTTCCAGGTCTCCCATGTAGTACAGGATCCCAAGGCTTTGGGTCATCCTTGACTGCTTTCCCAAGCCACAAGCAAGGAGTTGGATGGGAAGAGGGGCTGCCAGGATTCGAACCAGCGTGTGCAAGGTAAAGATTTTATATGCAATCCCGGTTGTGCAAGGTGAGGATTCAGCCACTAGGCTATTGTGCCAGTCCAAAGCTAAAGGAGTTTTCTGTTTCTTTCAGGACATTTTTCACTAAAATGCAAACTGCACAGAACTCCTCACTCTAAAAAGGAATTGGAGATCTTGGACGCTTCAAAGAATTCTGAAATACATTCCAGAATACCTTTTTTTTTTTTTTAATGTGAAACAACAAATTAGAGAAAAGAGGGAAGGACTCAAAAGAAAACAAAGGGGGGAAGGGAGGGGAAAAGAAGGGCCTAAGGCTGCTACCCCATCAGGGTCCAGTGGATGGTCAGGAATGCCCATCACAAGTCTGGCCTGGCTGCTGCACCTGCTGCATGTGTATGCCCTGCTCTTCAGTACCCTCACAGGTGACCTTGAGCAAATGGAAGCAGGAGTTGCCCAGGTGTTAAGAGACATGAAGGGTGGATAGAAGCAGAGAGGTGATAAGAAGGCTACTCTATGAGTTATCAGCTCTCAGACAAAGTACAAACCTCTTTGAGTGCTGACCAAAGCAGATCCTAGAAGGTAGGCAGTAATCTAATGGACACAATATAGAGTCAAGTGATTTCTTATTTTGTCTTGGAAATTTTCTCCTACAAAGTATTTCTGACTAACAGACTCCACTTGACTGCAGGTTTCTTCTATTAAACACATGCCTGTACACTCACACACACACACACATACCTCTCTTGCACAACACAGTTTTACTAGTTCACAGTTTTAACTGTAGGACCTACATTCACATCCCCCTGATTCTCAGCATGTCCACCCAATAGCAAGAAGGGAAAACAGAAAAGAAACTACTGCATTTCCTGTTTGGGAGCAATTACAGCCTGATGATTGTCCCTGTGATGACTCTGACACATGAATGCCAAGACTGATTTTTAGAGTTACCACAGTCTCTAACTAGACGAATTCATACCTGCAACCTAGCCCTGTTCAGCAGTATAATTCTCACTTAAGAACTTGAAGCTGATTGGGACTAGGCACATTTTAAATCACCAGCATGACTGGTCCTGCTAAGGGCAAACACTACCATTTCTTTCATGGCTTCCTGTAGGACTTCGGAGAACTGTCTCACTAACTTTAAAATAGTAGAAGATGAATCTGGATGATTTCTCCATTGTTCTTTTCCAAATACAATATTCTCCAGTCCCTGAGTGGACGCAGCAGCAATTGCTTTCATCATCACCTTTCTATTCACTGTCAGTGATCTCATTCTTCTTTTCTCCCCACCCTCCCTTTTTGTTCTCTACAGGAACAATAGACACAACTGGAACCAAATCTACCAAAAGCAGCTACTGTTTTCTTCTCAGGTTAGAGGATCAAGAAATAGAGAATGAGTTTTGCCTTCCCCTTAGTATCATATTTGCCTGTCCAGTGCCTTTTTGCTTCCATCCAATGGTTACCTCCTGAGGAAAGTGACAGTAATCCTCTTCTTATACTGATTCTTGCCTCTACAATAACTTCTGCACAGGAAGAAGTGACAAAATGAGTAAGCAGTTAAACCATGAATGCTAAATTAAGAGAGAAGCAAGGGAAATGGAAAAGCATTGGAAAGGCCATGGTGAACGACATTAACCTCCAATAAAATTTTAAGATAATGAAGACAAAATGCACAAGAAATAATGTTGTAGCAATACTATGATTTTTTTTTTAAACCAGGAAGCTAAGATGAAATGTGTATTCTCTGTAGTTTCTCTAATTCAATGTGAAAGTTTGTCTGCTAAAGAGTTAACTGAGAGAGGAAAAATACTAAAGAATATTTGCAAATATTCATGAACAAAAATTCAATTATAGAAATAATTTTAAATTAGTTTTCCCCCCTTATTCTCCTATTGTATAGAAACAACATTCAAAAAGTAGTATGGTATCAAGTGCATTTTCATTCATACAGACCCCCAGGGCTCCACCTTCCTTGCTGCCCTCTGGATAATGAGCAGCTGGGGGAGTCTCACCAGCTCTTCCTCCCAGGATAAAGACGGAAGTTATTGCACCATTCAGCACTGAGGAAAGAAACACTACTGCTCTGAGTTGAAGGATCGCATGTTTCTTACCGTGTCTTTTCCACCTGTGGCCTCTTATGGACATGCTAGTTACTGCATTTCTTGATATTCTAGAGGCAGTTGGTGTGATTTCGACCTGAATACACCTTGTACCTTCCTTACTTGATTTCATGGCACCTTGAGCTAACGAAGCTTTTATTGCATTTGCAACCTAGGAAGGAAAAGTATAGATTAAGATTGAGATGTTTCATTTTACCCTTAGATGAAACATGCTAGTATCAACAGGTTTCTAAAAAGAAACTCTGCGAGGCATTTCACATGATGATAGATATCTCCTCTACAATAAGGGGTTAATAGGTGAGCGGGAAACTTACGGTTAAAAATAATACAAGTACTTTAAAGAAGTTCATGGAAAAAACGGAATTAAAGGATAAATTCATTTGAGTACAAAAAGGTTTTTAAATCCATGCATAGTTTTTCATAATTCTCATAATTCCTACAAAGTTTTTGAAGATCCCTTTTTGTACGATATTAAAACTCTCTAAATACGAAACTGGATTTCAAAATGCCTAAAGTTAATTAATAAACAAAGCATAAGTATGTTAAGGAGATCATACTTATAAATAAAAAGGATTACTTATCATGTATCCAGCAAACTAGTAAAATGATTAAATTTTATATGAGCCATTTTTTTCAAGATTTATTTTTATAGTAAAGGCAGATTTATAGAGAAGGAGAGAGAAAGATCTTTCATTCCTTGTTCATTCCCCAAGTGGCTACAATAACTACAGCTGAGCCCATCCAAAGACAGAAGCCAGGAGCTTCTTTTGGGTCTCCCACAAGGGTACAGGTTCCTAAGGCTTTGGGCCATCTTCTGCCACATTCTTAAGCTACCAGCAGGGAGCTGGATGGGAAGTGGAGCAGCCAGGAGATGAACTGGTGCCCATATGGGATCCCACCATATGCAAGGCCAGGATTTAGCCACTTTGCCACTGCAGTGGGCCCTATAAACTTTGCTGAGTGTAGCGTTTTCCAAGTGTAATAAGAACTTGAATCACTAAGTATTAATGACATGCCTGAATGCACTTTGAATGGCTAATTGTTAATTTATAGTTGTAAAATTCACATACACATGAGACACCTACCAGCAATGGCTCTGGATATAATTCTAGCTGGGCTCTATATATAATATCATCCAATGCCTTCTGGGCCAGCTCCCATTCTCCATTATATCTACAGAATTAAATGAAGGAAATGATACATGTTTATAGTTCTGCATAATTACAAGTCTAATGAGAAATTGTCTTTACTAAGGAAAATAACAGATTACATTAACACACTGTAGCAAATTCTACTCCCATTAATATCATATTTTTAAATCTTGAATTCCTTTCAAATGAAAGCCTATTAATAGCAGAGAAAATTTTACAGATGTACAATTTTTCTCTAAAGAACAGAACAGAAATTTTTAGAACAGAAATCCAAACAGCTACGGTAATTTTAAAGCATTTTATGCTTTCAAAGCAAGTTAGAATGCAATAAATTACATACCTTAAAATAATGTTCAAAACACTTTATGGTCAAATTACTCTTTAACTCACACAGTTTTTAATGAGAATCTACAACTACTGTGACGTGCAATATCCTGAGTAGTTATTTCTTTCCATTCTGAAAGTTATTTAGAAGTGCACAGGCTGTACATTGCAAATATCAGAAAGATATGAGGGGAGAAATTGCATGTGAATGCATAATATTCAAAGACATGCCAAACCCTTTCTAAAAATTGGCTAAATTACAAAAATGAACAGATTTCATGGCTTGATCACCTGCCAACAGAATGAACACAGAGTGTGTCAAGAGTACAATGGAGGCCCGAAAGACAGGGAACAAAATTGTCCCAACCCTGAAAACAAAATAAATCCAGGCAATCTTAATCATAACTTCTCATGAATATATCAAAAAGCTGACGTCTTAGGGCAAACCCCAAGGTGTGCAGGAGCATCTGAAGAGGTGGGCAACAATGCAGGCAGACAGGAACTCAAACTTTGAAACCTAAATTGCTCATGGCTTGCACAGAAGGTCAGCTGGAGAGGACAGAAGCCCTGGGATCACGCACGGGGAAGCCACACTTGTTCACAGCGTGTACTGCCCTCCAAAGGCCTCCTTTGGGTGCTCAGGAGAAAAGCTGGAATCATGGAGGGAGACCAGAGAAACCGGCCCTTGGCAGTACAGGCTGGGAAAAGAACGATGGATCACTCACGCAGGAAAGGCACAAAGAAGAAACTGGAGCCTTTTCTCAGAAGAAAAGTTTGAAAGTCTTTTTTGGGAAGAAAAAATAAAAAGAAACAGAAGCCACACTGCACCCCTCAGAGCACAGGTGCAGGGGCAGTGACTTGGAAGAGAACAATCTTGGTCTCTGTTAAGGCCACCAAGGTCTTGTAGCATTGGAGGAAGGGCAGCAGCACTGAGAAAGACCCAGCCCTGGCATCTATCAAGACGAGGCTGTCCGAGGATGCCACTGTCCCCGTTCTCACATCACTCCCTCCACCACATACACCTGCAAAAGCCAGCAACACTCTGCTGCCACAGCACGCTCAGTTATAGCAGGAAGGCTGAAAGCAATGTCCAGGAAGACACTCTAGGCACCCAGCTCCAGCCCGCAGTGCCAGGCGGCACTGACTGAGGAAGTAGGTGGTTCTCTGCAGCCTACCACAGCAAACAACACAGATCCAACCCAACTCACTCCTGGCTATGACCCCACCAGCAATCTAGAAGAGGCAAGCCCATGAATAGTATTTACCTCCATCTCTACTATCCTGTCTCTAAACAAAATAACAAACAATCCAAAGCTGCAATGCACACACACACAAGAAAAAAAGCAAAAGGTGGAGGGCCTGGTGTGATAGCGTGGTGGCTAAAGTCCGTGCGTTGAACACTCTGGGATCCCATAGGTGTGCCAATTCTAATCTCAACAGCCCCGCTTTGCATCCAGCTCCCTGCTTGTGGCCTGGGAAAACAGTCAAGGACGGCCCAAAGCCTTGGGACCCTGCACCCCTGTGGGAAACCTGGAAGAAGCTCCTGGCTCCTGGCTTCAGATTGGCTCAGTTCTAGCCATTGAGGCCACTTAGGAAGTGAAGCATCGGACGGAAGTTCTTCCTCTCTGTCTTTCCTCCTCTCTGTATATCTGTCTTTCCAATAAAAATAAATAAAGCTTTTTTTAAAAAAAAGCAAAAGGTGGGGAAAAAAAAATCTAAAAGGGCAATGAGATCAGAGATGACTCCAAAGTTGAGGCATCAGGGAAACTGAAGTGAGGTGTGACAAAATATTAAAGACAAGTGGAAAAGATCTACAAACAGATGGAGTTTCCCCAGAAAGACGGGAACCACCCAAGTTTAATGAAAAGGCTAGGGGAAGGAGATGAAGAATGCCTTCTTCACTGGCCTCGTTGACAGGCTACAAACAGCCAAGGAAAGAATAGCACACATAAAAACAGAAAATAGGAAATTATTTCAAATGAAATAGAGAAAAAGAAAGACAATAAAACAGTTTAGAGCATCTCAGAACTACAGGACAGTTATTATGGTCTAAAACAACAGTCAGAAAATGTTTTCCTTAAAGAGCCAGCCAACAGACACTTCAGGTCTGTGTGTCAAGCAGACTCTATTTCAACTGCTGAATGCTGTGAGAGCAGCACAAAAGCAGTCACAGACAATGTGTAAACAAATGGGTGTGACTGTGTTTCAATAAAACTTTATTTACAACAGCAAGCAGCAGGCTGGATTTCACCTACAGACACAACTTGTGACTCCAAAAAGCTTGTAATATACTAAGAGATAATTAAAGTTATCAAGTGATCATAATGCAAAGACTGGTAAGATATGTAATGAGAGAATTACAAAGCATAAGGGTTCAAAGAAAAATGCTAGGACTTAAGTCACTAGGTAAGAATGAGTACCCAAATGAGAATGCAATAGTCAATCCATAATCAACTATTTCTGATCAAAAAGGTTTACAATGGTTTTGAAGTGGTGAAATTTCAAAAATGGAAGAAGATACACACTGGAGGAAAAAAATATGTTTGGAAATTAATGTTAAAAACTGATGAAGAAAAAGACCATGCGTATACTTAAGTGTTACTGATTATCATTCTAGCCTTGAATTAAATAAACACAATGAAGTATTGTAGTTGGTTATAACCTCTTAAGAACTTTAGAAAGGTATGTTTCAAATAATAAAGCCTTATCAAGAACTTTCACAAAAGATACGATTATTTATCTCTAAGTACTAAGTTTATAAAATATCAATAATAGACTAACAGACTGATTTTCCAAACAAAGAAAAAGTTTACTTTGTATATGAGATAAACTTACAAGGCAAAATAAATCCCTGTTAACATTTGCACCATGAATCCTGAAGAAACTGGTATCCTGCTACTTACACCTTTGTATTTTCTTACATGCTGTCGAGGATATCCACAAACACAGATTCTAGAGAGACAAAAATAAATAAAGCATATTGTAAAATTGGAAAAAAAATTCAATTTTTTCAACATCTGTAAACCAATAAGGTATATTCTCACAGCAAACCTAGTATCTATTTATCTGTAATATTTTTTTGGAGTAAATTAGGATGAAAAAAAATATATAAAGCCTGAGGAATGGTCATATATAGTAAGAGAACCAGATTCACTTTCTGATTGGCTCAGCAATTTTGGTCACTTCAGTTACTAGTAATTTTTGGCTACCACAAAACCCATTACATGGAGCTCAGCTGTACTGCCATTAATGCACCAATGATGTGAGCCTAATCCCTGAGAAAATCCTCAACACAAACTGCTCAGTCCGAAACAATACTGTAAGTTGAACTCATGTCTCAGTCAGTATACCATAATAAATTTCAGACACAATAAATGTTTTATTATTTAAAACTCTAAAACATATAAAACATAAGCAAATATTTATACATTCCCGAATGCTGCATACACATGGCACCAAAGACAGAATCCTAAAGAGAGATGAGTATGTCTTTACTGATTTTTTAAAACAACCTATTATACACCAAGTAAGAATGCAAAGAAACAGGGCTGACAGTGATAAATGATTAAGAAATGTTAAAGTTGGTTTCCTTGGTGGTCTAGTAATTAGGATTCAGGAATGTTAAAGCTAAGGGCTATTTACTGTAGTGAATAGGAAACCACCCAAAAGTTGTACACAGGGAATAGCTACATAAATCATTTAGAGCACATGATGAAAGCTATAAAATATAGTGCTCTGAAAGTCCCCTGATTTTTCAGCAGATTGCACAGTGTTAGTTTTGTCTACTGTGTGTCCCGCCGCCATTTTCCATGAACAGCACTGCCATTCCTCTCACCCTTAGGAAGGCTAAGTCAACTTTAGTCAACTTTAATTACATAATTTATGGTAAGGCTACCAAACTACCCATGGCAGAGATAATCACACTAATATTTATTTTTAATAATAACAATGATACGTAAGGTACATTTCCCTCCTCTCTCTAACAGGCATTCTAACTAGGAACAATGGCTATCCTGTTAGAAATTATATTTTCTAGCCTTCCTCACAGCAAAGGGACCATGTGACTAAGTTCTGCACAGTGGCAATGTTAACTGGCATGGCAAGCCCTCGAGAAGCAGCTTCAGGCCTTCTTTCGCCTCTTCCTCCCTGCCTGCCGATGCAGTAACAGTCATCCATTTCCCTACAGGCAGGGTAATACCATGGAGAATGGCTGAATCCCACAACAGAAACAAGTCAGAACACACTAGAAACACAGACAGCCTACCCTCCAGTCCATTTTCCTGCTCGGGCATTCATGTTAAGGAGAAGCAAATGCCCACTTTAAGTTACTGTTCTTTATCTCTGTTAAAACATCTATGTCAAATCTACCTGATTCATTACTCCTCCATGATGCCACAGGGCATACAAAAGCCTCAGACTGGCACAGAGTCCTTAGCTGGATTGATTTCTAAACCGAAGCTGGGAGGGAACACGTTCTTTCTGCTGAGGTCACTACAAGCAGACAACGTGGGCATCCGGCTCTCTGAGGTCACCGTGAATAGTGACCTCACTGAAGAAGCCTATGTTTAAAATGAAAGTTCAAATGCCAACAAATGAAGACGATGGGATGGGAGAAAATGTCCTAAAAACCTCTTAGCCTCTGGGTCCACCTGATCCTAGGCTATTTCCATTTCTATTCTTCCCAGATACAACAGGCCTGGAAATGTTCTTTTTGGAATAGTCTGTTTTAATTCAGCTGTTAGTTGCAAGAGAGACAGTCCTAACCCGGAGAAGGGATCAATGACACACTTGATGGTGATGGTAACTGGATTAGACACATACAGGTTTAGAAACTGGGAAAGAGGGGTAGGGTTCAGGAAAGATGCTTTAGCCAGCAGTAAGTCAGCACTGTTATTAATGACTTAAGAAAGAACAACTTTATCATGGCTCTAGGATAGTCAACCAACTTTCAAATTCATTTAGGTCAGAATGGCAGAGGCAATTTTCTCAAACAATAACACCCTTGAAAGATTTACATAGATATAAGATCCCATTTTCTCTCATTCTCCCTCACCAGCTAAACATAAAAGAAAAAGCAGTTGTCTATTAGGAGCTGAACTAAAGCCTTTTCTACAGAAATGCAAAGAGTTATTTTTTTCTCAGAGCTCCTAAAAACTAAAACTGTAGTGATTTTGCATTCATCAATAAAAGATCCTTTCAGAGTAAAACACACACACCTATTTCTTTAGTCCTAATTCTGCTTATAGAATCAAAATTTAAAGTAGAAAAGATCATCTATCTTTACTCATTTGTTCAACAAATAGACACTAAGGTTCTACCGAATACCAGCACTTCTCTAAGTTCCCAGGATACAAAACAGCCCCAGAGGCCTTGACTTCCTGAAGCCCATAGCAGCCAATTCGTTACCTCAAAGGGGTTCAAGTGCCATAAGGAAATAACCTGCAGTGGAAGGGCTCACTCTAGAACATCCAAGGAGGCAACCAGCTGAGCTCAGATCCTCCCCACTCCTGCCTGCCCCAGGTCTGGTCCTGTCCAGCTGTGCCATTAACTTATCTCCATTCATGTCTTCTAGTACTGAAGAATTCTCTGACCTACTTTCAGCTTTCTTTTTATTTCACTATTCAAAGACACTCTGTTCTCATAACACCCTTTACAGAATTTAAATAAAATGCAAAACAGAACAAAAGAAGTCAACCTCACCAGGCCACATGACTGACTCCCCTGTTTGTCATCTGATTCTCCCTTACAGATCCCAAGCCTGCAGATCCAACCTTCAGAAGAGCATTGGAGCAGCATGACCTCCTTCTCTGTATTACAGTTACTCTGGCCCTGTGTGAACATTTGCCAAATCCTTAAACCATGTTCAAATAAAATCTCTTTTGGAAAACACACTTTGTCAAATTTCTGGGAGAAGTTCTGAGTATTGATTTCTAAGTGTGGAAAACACTTTGCTGTAATTCTCACTTTCTGGGAATAGACATTTGTCTTGTTTTTTAGAGTAAAAGTGAACTCATGAGACAGTTAACATATTCTGAGTTAAAACCATAAAATAATTAGAAGGCCCATTTTGGCACTGGCATTGAAACCAGCATCCCATATAAGCAATGGTTTGAATCCTAGCCTTTGCTTCCAATCCAAGTCCTTATATGCTAATGCACCTGGGAAAACATCAGAACAAGGCCCAAGTGCATGGGCTCCTGCCACCCACACACCAGTGTTTGCTGTTGCGGCTCATTTGGGGAATAAACAAGTGGATGAAAGATTTTTGCTTTGGCCTTTCAGGTCAATGAAATAAAGCTTTTAAAAAAAAGAAGACCAGGTTCAGGGAGTCTATGCTCTGTCCTCTTTCCTGTCCTCATTCTTCTGCCTTGTGAATTTAGGAGCTGAACAAAGGTTTCCCCTTCTGCCACTTTCCTCAAGTGAAGACCTCCCACAAAAATCATGCTCAACTAGCTGGCGGCAAGATTACCTTTATTTGGGTTGTGAAAGATGGGCAAGACTTACATGAACACAAATGTCCCTTATTCCATGCCCCCCACCACACCACAAAAAAAGAGTAAGAAATGAAAAAGATCAGCTACAGGTTTTCTCAACAAGGAAGGAACACTAATTTCAGACACATGCTCTAGGATGAGAATAGCAAACAGGCGAGGAAGAAAAGAACAGTGATGCTGTGCATCCACTGTGAATGTGTGTGTTCCTCACCGGGGATAACTGCCACCTGTAACTGTTATTTCAGAGAGAGCGAGAGAGAGAGAGAGAGAGAGAGAGAGAGAGAGAGAGAGAGAGAGAGAGAGCGTGCGTAAGTATGTAAGGAAGTAACTGTATTTGGAGAATTCATCCTCGGAAAGGCTAACTCAGGCAAAGGTGCCCCCAGTGGACAGAAAACAAAAAGAGATCTGTTCAGGTGATCAGGAACGTTGGTCTACAAGTGAGGAGAGGGGCAGGTTGCATTACACTGATGAGGACTCACAGCAGTCCACGTCTCAAGTCAACCAGCCATGTGACTCAGCAGCTGAACAAAATCAGAGTGTCCTCAGGCAGTGGGAGAGAATTCAACTTAATAGCTGGTACAGCTTCATCTTTAGTACTTACATTCCGTGTCAAGAGACAAGATTAGGCATAGCCATCTGTTAAGCAGACTCATATTAGTAGAGATGGCCAACAGTAATTAAAAAAGAAAGAAATTAATTCCTCAAACTAAGAGGGCTCAGGAGTATACTAACAAGACCTATTGGTAGCATTGATGAGTACATCCCTTTAAGGAATGCCTTATGTAATAGTCAGTACCAGCAATGAATAAAAATTTGTGGACGGGCCGGCGGCATGACCTAGTGGCTAAAGTCCTTGCCTTGGACGCTCCGGGATCCCATAGGGCACCGGTTCTAATCCCAGCAGCTCCACTTCCCATCCAGCTCCCTGCTTGTGGCCTGGGAAAGCAGTGGAGGATGGCCCAAAGCCTTGGGACCATGCACCTGCGTGGGAGACCTGGAAGCAGATCCTGGATCCTGGCTTCGGATTGGCATAGCATCGGCCGTTGCACTAACTTGGGGAGTGAATCATCGGACTGAAGATCTTCCTCTCTGTCTCTCCTCCTCTCTGTATATCTGACTTTCCAATAAAAATAAATCTTAACAACAACAACAAAAAAAATTTGTGGACTGTGACTTGCTCAGTTCAGCCCTCACCTGTCTGAGATCTCTGCTTCAGATGGTCCATGCACACTATATGGGGAGGAAGCACAGGCCAGCAAACCTCACAGTAACTGACTTGGTTTTTCCTCAATAGAAAGGATTTGTGTGTGTAATGGCTAAAGGATGAAAAGTTCCCAAGACTGTCTTCATTATTACCCGCCCCGTCAATCCATTACAACCAGATTAAGAACAACATCTATTAGTCAATGGATGTATTTCAAATGTGCCACAGACTGGTTGTGTTTATGAATCTTTCTTCCAAAACGACCTAACTGATCATTTCAGTATAATCATCAAGCAAAATGAGCAGCAACCAAAGAGACCTGGTGCATGCCAAAATGTATGGGATTAGCCGCCAAATTATGCGATTACTTTTACCTTAAGGTAGGCACACCCATTTATGATGTGCTCATCACCACAGCTCTGGAACCATTTTCATTCCACAGACACGAACTGACTTAAGTGAGATTAAAGAAAAGTGCTGCACAACTCTTTTCTAATTATTAAAATTTACAACACTTTGTAATTAGAGTATTTGATAAATGATTAAGGAAAATAGAAATTAAGAGAAATAGCAAAGTGGATTTTATCACTGAGAATACAGCAGGGAATTTAATACAAAAATAAAGAACATAAACCACCAAAATGAATGGAGTTACTCTTCTACCATGTCCCGTAGCTTAGGAATCATGATTAGTTTAAATAGCTGAAGTCTTCTGAATTATTTAGGTCATACACACATACACATAAACCCTTGTTTTCTTATGTTGCACAACATTTACACAGAATCCTTTTCTCTTGTGGCACAGAATAATCTAATATAAGTCTAGGGAAATTTTCCTTAGCCAAAATCCTACAGCTAGTATTTATCTATTTATTTAACCTTTCTTTCTCTCTTTTCTGGTAAACATTTATTAATTGATTGGAAAGGCAGAGATAGGGAGAAAGAGATTGATTTACCAAATGACATCAACAGCCAGTACTGGGCACAGACTGGGTACAGACTGAAGCCAAGAGCTCCATCCTGGTCTCCCAGGTAAGTAGCCACAGCCCAAGCACTTGGGCCACTTGGACCATCTTCCACAGCTGCTTTCTCAAGCACACAACAGGGAGCAGGATGGGAAGCAGAGTAGCCAGGACCCAAATAGCATTCTGATCTGGGATGTCAGTATTGTGTCAGCTTAACCAGCTGAGCCACACAACATGGCATCCTCTTACATCTAGTTTCAGATAATTGTGTTTCTCTTTGTTTTTAAGACTAGCATCTATTTGCACTCTTTGTTGGAGAATTATTCAGTTACCTGCTTGGGTAAAAGTAATACCCTACAATTTATATATATATTTTTAACCTACATTGTAAAAGTGGGTATATGAGAAGGCAGCACCTAAGGGTTTCATAGGACAAAAACCAGGGATACACATTCTTGCTGGATTTTTCTTTTTTTCCCCCTGATTTTTCCATGCACATTTTCAGGGCAACATCAACAGTGACTATTATTACAGCCTGTCTAGGAGATTTCAAAAATATTTACATATACATATGTAAACTACATAAGCATTCAAACATATATGTATACACACATATGAGTCGAAAAGTTTATGGAAAATGTGCATTATGAAAAAAACATGCATGGGTTTCAGGGTGTTTTTTTTGGCATCAAAACAAATTTTTAAGTCCATTTCCTATGAACTTTTTGAAGCTCTTCATATATGCATTCCAGAGTTCTTCAATCCTTAGATGGAAGAACAACAGCTATAGAGCAGGGCCTGGTCTTTGGGCTGTAAATTCTGCCGGTGAAAGTCACTCCTTAAACTCAGATCTCTTTAGGGGTCCTTACACTCATTTCAGTTCCTACCAAAGTCTTCAGGGGTCCACAGTGAGATGTGAGAAACAAAAAAAGCCAAATTTTAGTTTACAAATGATTGTCCTTCTCACCCTTCCCCATTTGTCACATTACAATAGTCTCCTTTTTGGTAAACAATGTGGAGAGTAGATATTAATAACACAGTGACTTGGCAAAATACAAAGATGGCAATATTATGTAAATCATTCCATCAGTTTTGAAATTTTACTTGGGAACCTCTGCTTTTAGATGATTTCAAGCAAGAAATGCATCAGAATGATTCAGTGAGTGGCAGAGACCGCATGCACACAGGAACTCTCTCTCCAAGGAAGGAAATGTACTTATGCATGGCCTCAGGAATCATCTGAATGCACCTGTGAGCCCTGTCTTGCCAACTGCCACCTCCCACTGCTCCACGTGGCTTTCTACCCTGGCCAGCACATTCCCTTTTTCTGCTTGCTGTGTGTGGATCAGTTGGATCTCTGTGTGATTGCTCCATGGACCTCCCTCTGGCTTAGTTGTGCTTTCTAAATAAGCTCTCCCAATACAAATTATTCCATAAATTCCTTAATCCTATAATACCCCTTATTTACTTGAACTACCACAGGCAACCATTTTTTGTTTTTTGTTTTGTTTTGTTCAGGAGAAGGTAATGTGTTCCCACAGAAAATGTAAAGCATCACAGAAAATCAAAAAGAAATTTAAATCATAATTCTACCAACTAGATATAAATATCATTAATATTCCAGTTACATTAAAAAAATCAGGAACCATGGTATATATACTAACATTAAATGTTATTATTTTTTAATGTTCCAATAATATACTAAAGGCTATGATAATTTATTTAGCCACCTTCTTGTTTCCGATTTTTTTAAACAAGAAAAATTTTTAAATTAGTATTTTTTATTTATTTCGAGGCACAGTAATTCCTGGCACAGTAAAAATGAATAAAAGTAAACAAAAAGTCAAACACATGTCTAAACCTGAAAAATCATCACAGTTTCATCATTTTAGATATTTAATATAATAACTCTCTGGTTAAATATTCCACTTACATATCATCAAGCTCTACATCCTGCATCAAGTTTTTTGTGATTTTCCTTCAGAAGACAGGAAGCTCCCTATGAGTTGAGTAGGCTGAGCTCTACACTAACTGAACATTTTAAACACATGATCACATTAAAAACAAGAAACATTTAGGCATGCAGCAAACTAGCTTTCCTGAGTTCACGTATTAAAAACAATTGAGATTTTAACTTACCTTGAACAAATCTGACACAGTGATTGAAGAGAAACACCGGGCATATAGGTTAAGGCAGCATTGTAACACAACAAAAGGAATGTCAATACTTCAAACCTAGAGACAAACCAAAAGAATATAAACAAGTTTTCAGAATTCTAACAAATCAAGCAAAATAGGTAAGAGGGTGACCACAGGGGAGGGAGGCATGGGACTGCAGGGAACAGACCTGTACAATGTTAGGTACCAATGATGGTAAAAAGTCAACAGGGAAAAAGAAGACTTCCCAAGGAACAGCCACACATACTTATCTTAAAAACTTATTTGTGTTCCAGATGACATTGGAAATCCAGTAACAAATCTAGACGTGTATTTCTCTTGCATAAAATAACTCACTAGTCACAAGCTGCTATGCATGCCTGATTACACATTACTGTCTGTCCACATGAAACGATTTTTCAAAGTCAGTGTCAACAGTATACCTGTTCTGTGCTGTCAGCATCTCTCGTTGAGGATGAGGTCCACTGTACACGACCTTGGATAAACCGTGCTGGGAGAGGGCACTCTCTGTCAGAGCCATGGACCCAATGCTGGAAGGCTGAAGAAACGACATTCAAATGAAGGGGCAAAAGCAATTCCAGTGAAAATGTAATATTTAGAACATGTATACCATGAAGAATGAACACCAGGAACATCATATACAATAAAAATATTCAACCACCTAAAATTTAATAAGTAGTTTAAAATCAAACTACAAAGGATAAACAAGAAATGTTTTCAAAAAAAATTCTAGTATGGAAATGTACAATTGCTACAAATTTAAACATAAGATTAAACTTATCCATCAGGAGGTAAGAAAATAGCCTACTTTCAATAGAGCTCTTACTACTACAGTTTAGCTCAGAGTTTAAAGATTTTGATTTTTCATTTTACTTTGAAAATAATAAATACTTTGGTGTTTTATACTTTTTAAGATATTTACCTCAAAATTAAACCCTAACTTATAGCAATATCAAATCTTATGAATAATAAACTTACTTTGATAAAATGTCACTTACTTCATGATACACAGATGGTTTGGATAAAGATGGAATCGTAAAACTCAATACTTTGCTATGTCCCTGTTTATCAACTATTTCCTATAAAAGTAAAAAAAATACATTGAAATCTTTACTTCTTTACACATAAATTTATTTTGTTAATCTATTTTTTAAAGACCTGAGTAGAAATTAGTCAGTTATAATCTTAAACCATGATATTCTAGTATCAATTATTCATAAATAGAAATAGGTAAAATGTACATCCTCTTACTTTTAAAATAGCTTTTAGAATGACTGAGACAGAGATGTACAGTCTTAATAACCGATCTTTCTAATATAACCAATTACATTCTCTAAATCAATTGGGGATATAAATACAAAAGGACTTTAACTTTCTTCCCATTTTTGAAGAGGATAAATCATACGTATCTAGAGCATCATATTAACTTATATACAAGCTCTATTCATAATGAAAATTCTAAATCAATGATATAACCACATTTTATAAAACTATGGTAAATATTAGCTGAGCTTCTAAATTTTCTGTGAAGATCAGAAACATCATTTATAGATGGTATACTTTAAGTTTAAAAAATGTAAAACACAACAATATTTTCAGATACCTCCTTAAAAGAACTGAAATCATAACGATTTCTAGTCTTCCATCTATCCTGAAGGATAGTTACATACTTATATGTATCCCTGTAGGGTCCCTAACCACATAAAATCTTTCTTTTTTTTTTTTTTTTGGAGAGAGAGAATAAACTGAGTCATTTGATGTACTAAAAACAAACAGTTTTACTAAAAAGTAAAGTAGTCACAAAGGTTATGGATTGGATTTTGCTGAAAAACATTGTGTTAACTACACTAAATACAAACCAAATTGTAAACCCCTAAAAGAAGAGCTTCGATGCATCCACTGCTGTGTACATTTCTGCTGGCGGAGACCGCAAGGTAGCACCAAATGAGTTCTGGGAGAAACTGAAGTGTAAATCGAAGTAACTGCTCTTCCCCACTGCGATAGAATTCAAAGAGCTGGTGGCAGACAGGTTCTAGCAACTGCAAGAAAAACAAAATGCTAATTCTAAAACTGGACTGCATTTCAATGACCTTGTTACATGAGATGTACAAGTTATTCATAACTAAGCTTTCAACCCTGACGGAAGGGTAAACAGGAACATATGTTTATTAAATTTGCACTATGTAAATTTCAGAACAGTTCACAACTTTCAGATAGTATTGGTGTGAAAACAGTGCCTTTTGTTTTACTTCTTGAAATTGCTATGTGGCAGTAAGTTTCTTCCTTAGCATCCTTCATTCCTGACTAGATACATGACAATACATAAATGACTAGCCATGGGATGCGGGAAATGAAATGGGATCTCCCTCCCAAGTTTCATCCGGTAGCAGTGACTACCATACAACATCATTTGGAGTGATCTCTAACCTTTTTCTTTCCCACCACACACCCCTCCCCCGACCCCATCCAGTTAGTAGAGTGGGCTGTATCATGAAAATACTTTCTTTTTATGATTCAGAAAGCAAGATAAAAGACACTCATAGGTAATGTTATTATAAAGCATATAAAATGATACACATAGTCTGTATGTCAAGAAATTCACAGGGTACTGGTTTTTCAAGGAAAACATCTTATATTTTCAATGAGCTATCCTTCATTAATTTAGGCAACAGATTTAAGTCAATTTACTCAACAGATTTTTCACTGCCAATAATTGAAATGAACAGAAACTAATTTATAGTGGGTGTTTTTGATTTGAAATAAATTAAATATACAAACTGAGAATTAATGTCAATATTATTTAAACAAGATTTAACAAAAGTCACAGTTCAATAAACATTGATTAAAACTAATCTTTCCTACTGAAAAATTACCTAACTCTGACAATTAATCCTTCATAAGGGATATTTCTCCACTCTCCAAATGGTCTTTTTGAGGGTGACACATGTCCATCAAAGCCATGGGAAGGTAACAAAGAAACTGGAGGGCTACAAGGGATTCTATTCATAGATACCAAGAAAAGATTTTAGGGTAGGAATGTTAAATAATGAGATTAAAAGTGGCATAAAGGAAGACTTTTAGCTTTTGGGGTACAATTTTTCAAAATGTAGTTTGTGGGCCAGCCTCAGCATCCTTGTTTTGTAGCATGACTCAGCTTTTCAATAAATCCCTGGGAAAGCTTTGAATGGATCAATTGATAAGGACTGCTAAGCTTAGAAAGTATTAGTAAATTATAAAATATATTAGAAAATATATTTAAGATGGTCTGCATGAGCAGAGAATCAAATTTAATCAAAGTGCATTCAAAGGCTTTAGAAACAGTTTGACATTCAACATTAAAAGCCTGCTGCAGAGCCAAATGAAGACAGATCCAAAGGGGAAGCTGAAATCACACGCTGCCAATAGACTGGATGAAGGCATGTACTTGAAACCCATTCAGCCTGGCATCTGTGTAGTGTGTTACGGCTTGCAAAGTACTTTCCCATACAGGAACCTGATCAATCCCAAAGCACTGTAGGGTGGAATATCATTATCCACACTTTCCACATGAGGGAATAGAGACAAAGAGGCCAGGATCACAAGGGTCAGTACTAGAGTCAGCTCCTTTAACTACTTTATACACATTCTGGAAAGTGTTGGAAAAGAAAACAATAAAATACACAGTGGGAAATATGGCCAGTGTTTGACCTCCTACTACAGAAGCAATGTGGGTAAAGCATTAGAATGGGCAGTGTTCCCTAGTGTCTGCAGTGAAATGCTAAATGTTCTTTCTCACAGTACTGTTAAAAAGAACAACACGTCAAGCATACTCTGTGTGTGTGTGTGTGTGTGTGTCTGTGTGTGTGTGTGAAATGAGCTTTTTTTTTTTTAAAGATTTATTTTTATTATTTTTATTGGAAAGGCGGATATACAGAAAGGAGAGACAGAGAGGAAGATCTTCCATCCGATGATTCACTCGCCAAGTGAGCACAACGGCCCATGCTATGCCAATCTGAAGCCAGGAGCCTCTTCTGGGTCTCCCACGCGGGTGCAGGGTCCCAAAGCTTTGGGCCGTCCTCAACTGCTTTCCCAGGCCACAGGCAGGGAGCTGGAAGGGAAGCGGGGCTGCCGGGATTAGAACCGGCGCCCATATGGGATCCCGGGCGTGCAAGGTGAGGACCTTAACCACTTGCGCCACCACGCCAGGCCCGTGAAATGAGTTTTTTAGAAGTCTGATGGGAACCTTATCATGTATCTTCTCTACAGTCTAAAAAGCACCCTGGCCTCTAAAACATGCAACATTCAAATGATCATTTACAACAATTCATTCGTAAGTAGGAAGTCTGTAATCCAGACACATTTCTAGTAGTAGTAGAAACGAGGCACAAGAAAGCGTGGCACACTGGGTTAAGTCACTGCTTGAGACAACAGCATCCATCTCCCACAGCTCTCCCACAGAGGAGAGCTAGATGGACTTGCAGGCTCTTGGCTCTGGCCTGAGCCAGTTCAAACTGTTCCAGCACTGGGGAGGCAACAGAGGATAGAAAATCTCTTTATCTTTTCCCCTCCACTACACTGCCTTTCACATAAATAAATTCTACAGAAAAATAATTAAGTTGGGAAGGTATCAAACTTTTGAGCTTGGGTGAACCTACTAGGAAAACCTTGCAAAAGTTTTGTATTCAACAATTACTAAGGAACATAGATAGGACAGAATACAAAATGGTTGGAAAGACTCTGCTATTCAGGTGTGGCATCAGCTGGCACTGGACCTCTCTCATTCTGGAACCCCAAAGAGGATTCACATGACTCTCAGTGAACAGCTGATGTTGAAACAGACTTGAGTACTCTTAGCCTCTAATTGGATGTCTAGCTAAAATTGTACTCAGTTGAAAGCCACGCTCAAGCTAACAGCATCATACCCATATAGACTCTATACATTTCCTGAACTCATTGTACACATCTATCTAACAGCCTTTCAAATGACTGATTTCTCTCCTGGAAAGTTCTTGTTCCTGGTTTTTCTCTCTCTGGTTCTACTTCAATCATATCTCAATTCACCTCCTCAGACCAACACACACTTCCCACATTACATCACATTTTTACATCCATTAAGTTTATTCACTGACATAGTAGTGCACATGTGGTCATTAAACTGTTTCTCTCTCTCTCTCTGTCACACACACACACAGATAGCTTTGGGAATATGGGAATAATTCTATGGGAGGCAGAATGGTATAGTGAATTTCATTTCATATTGTTCTTTAAAACATTTTCTTTACCTTTTATATATGTTAGATTTCATAATAAAAAGTGAGCATAATCAACTGAAAATAATGGTATCATAAACTGTAAGAATACTTACCTCACTTTGTGGCTCTTGGATAACTTTATAGAGAGATGAAACTAAGGAACTCTTGTCTTTCAAATTTGTGGCATAATCTGGTAAAGATGTTTCTGGCAGTGTCTAAACAAAGTAAAAAAAAGAAAGCTTAATTTTTTTTTATAAAATTTCCAAAATTGGAGAGTCCATAGATTAGAAGGGAGACCAGTTGTTGGCAGAGGCTGAATGAAGAAGGGGAAAGACTGAAGGTGACTAACAGGTGCAGATGGCAGGGAGAGGGAGGAGAAAGATGGATGTGGTAGGAGTGCCCTGGAATTAGACATTGCTGCTGGCTGCACCACATTGCAAAACTACTAAACAAATAAAAACACCATATTTTTACCTTAAAATAGTCAATTTTATCTTAATTATAGTTCAACAAAAAAATCAAAATAAAGCAGAAATTTATCCTATCCTCGACCCATCATCAGGAACATAAATGAACACCAATACTTCATCTTTGATCACAGTGTGAGGTTAGAATGAGGATATAAGCCATATACAAAGCTGGCCACATTTCTGGAGTATTATATAAGTCACATTATCTGGGTCCTGATTCTGACTAATCATGTTATATAAGGCTCTGATAATGTTTCAGACCTAAAAGCCACAGGATACTGTCTTACATAAATATGTCCTGAGGTACATATTGTGACTGGTAAGCTCTGTTAAGCTGTTCTACCTCATGAACTGGTGGGAAAACTTCAGCTTCTCAGATGTTCTATCACAAACCAGTTTTCTAGTGTAGCCTCAAACAGGGGGCAACTAATCAACACCCACACAAAAGGACAAAATACACACACACACGACAGGGAATCATAAAAAAAAAAAAAAGAAACCCATGTCATTCTAAGAATGACAAAATTTGACAAAATTCGTCTCCTGAGTTAGGATTCTTCCTCACCTGAACTACTTCCTTCCTCCAATCAACCAGTGCTAATCCTGCAGTAGACACCATGTCTCAAGATGTCTTGACAGTCATTTCAAGACATACACTGCTTTTTCCATATTCTACATCCTAGTGCTTCATGTTTCAACATTTGGCACGACTATACAGATATACATAAACAGACATGTAAAGTGGAACAGCACATCTTTTTACAATAAGGATTTAATCTTGATCTGATCTTTACTGCGAGCCCCTCGAGGGTAAGAACTGTCTTACCATTTCTCCATTGGCATCACTCAGCACAAAGCCTCGTTCTCAAACCTTTGCCAGGGGAACTTATCATAGACAGGAGAAGACAGAAACATTGTCACTGTTGATTCCTTGGTAGATTCTTTAAAAATAGGTCATGTTTTACCTTAGGACATAAAAATGAATGGCTTTTTAAACAATTCTAATAAGTCAGTTCTGTGTAGTAGAATGGTTAATAAATGTGAACTATTTGAGAGCCTTCCAACATCCTCCAGAGAAAAAAACAAGTTTCACTGCACAGCATACATAAAGAAGAGATTAGCGCATGCTTCCTTATTTCAAAAGCAAGTAATAAAAGAGCACCAGGCAACATTCCATTTCCGTCATTTGATCAAGAGTAGCATAGTGCTAATGGAATTTATATAAAAAGAATTAGTAGTCAAATAAAAAAGGTTCCTAATCTTCTGAATAAAAAATGAACCTAAGTTACATATTTCATATATCTAGTTTTCTATCATTAAAATACATTACATAATTTAATATGACACAATACTTGCATGTTTCTAACATGTCTATAAAATTTAAGCAGAACTGTATTAAAATAAATATTTTAGAGTTTGTGAATATAAGATTATCTGTTGTAACATACTATCTGGGCTAAAACTAAAACACTATTTTTTTAAGTTTATATATCAATTAATTCTTATGAGGTAAAATATTTTTTTGTGAAACAGCCAATGGAAGAAAGACAGCTCTTTTCTGAAAAGATAAACTTTGGGAAACCAAGACTAATAGTAAGTGAGAGGAGAAATTATCCTAAAAATTAATGTAATAACTTTGATTTTTTTTCACAATTCTGTCATTATTTCACTGCAAGAATGTGGGTAAAGTTACTATTGCATACAAAAAAAGAAGATATGGCTGTTATGTTTATGAATGGCGTTTTGAAAAGCTTAAGATTTAAAAGGTCCGAACACATTTAAGATCCGTTATAATAAGCATCTACATTTTCTTGGCCTGTATTAATTTCAAAGTATTGGCCTTCTTAAATACCATTTGAATCTCATATTTCAGAAGGAAGAGATGAAAATGAAAGGTAATGTATTGGAACATTATGCTGGAAAATTCTTCTTGGCAAAATTTGAAGACAGATGCTTCACACTCAAGCATCATCTGGCAGATTTTTTTTTAATATAAGGAGATAATATGGGCTGAGTGGAAAAGATTTAATGGAGATGGACAGATGGGAGAAAAACCAATAACTAAAACAACCTTTTCAACAATATCACTCCTAAGACTGGATTTGAATCACTTATTAAGATCCTGTGACTATCAGAAAAAAAAAAAAAAATGAGGAGTCCAGAAATCCACTAGGTAAATCTACACATAGCATTCATAAATACACACTATAACCTGAAAAATGTTTTACAAATAAATATTTGAAAAGAAAAAGATTGAGCTATTCATGAAATCTGGAAATGAAATCCTATTCTTACCGTTTTAGTAGAACATAAAGAAAAAACAAATAACATATCTAAAACAGACACTTGGAAAAAAATGTTAATATTTAGATTTTAAATGCAAGATTTTCACAAATCAAACTGTGTTGTCTCTGTACCTGCAAGGTTCCTGAGCAAGATTGGAAATTCAGACTATGATGCTGAAAATGGGTTTTTTTACTGACCACCTGCTTCAATTTCCTGATGAGGACACTGATGACTGGAGAGCTTATATGATTCGCCCAACATAACAAATCCACCTAGTAAGAAAATCAGGATTTGATCAAAGGATTTCTGACTCTCAATTCACTTCATCAAGCATGGTGACCTTGACATTATTAGTAATATTGTCTTTATTTTGACTAATAAATGTTATTTAATATCACAGATCACTTCAAAGGCAGATAGAAATCATCCTCATTTTAAAAGTACTTAACCAGTGTTGCCAGTACAGTGCAGCAGGTGAAGCCATTATCTGTGATATTGATGCCAACATCCCCTAGCTGTGAGTCGAATCAAGCTAGTCCACTTCTCATCAAGTTACCCACCAATGAGCCTCAGAAGCAGTGGAAAGTGACCCAAACGCCTGGGCCTGCTGCCAAAATGGGAGACCTGGATGTAGCTCTCAGGTCCTGGTCAGCCAAACCCAGGCTTGGTTGTTGTGGCCATTGGGGAGCAATCTTGCAGTTTTTCTCTCTTTCCCTAATACTCTGCCTTTCCAACAACAACAACAACAACAGCAACAACAAATAATAATAATAATAATATTTGGAAGGAATGACAAAGACAGACCTTTCATCTGCTGGCTCATTTGCCAAATAGTGGCAATGGTTAAAGCTGGGCTAGTCTGAAGCCAGGAGTCGTGAGCTTTTTTTGGTCGTCCACGTAGGCGCAGGGACCCAAGGACTTGGGCCATCCTCCCCTCCTTCCCCAGGCCATTAGCAGGGAGCTGCATCAGAAGTGGAACAGCTGGAACTCCAACCCAGGTCCATAAAAGTGTGAAGGCTTAATCTGCTACACCACAGCACCAGCCCCAATAAATATATTCTTAAAGGTTTATAGCATATTTCTACCCAAACACATTTTTAGCCTTCTACAAGGAACTTCAAAACATCTGAAGATAAATGGAATTAGAAAATACATGGTTATCTTGGCACACACAAAAAATATAAATCCACATATGCTTTTCCTAAGGAACATTTGCCATGAACTTTTCCAAGTCCTTAGTATTCCCTCTGCTCTGCTGCTGATTTTGCCTGATAACTTTATTATCCTTATCAAACACAGAGCTGAGTTCAGTACATATTTATATAATTCAGAGTTATGCTCAACATGATTTTCAGGAATGGTGTCTTCCAAATAAATGACAACAAATACTCATTTTCAAAGTGATCGAAAACTAGTAAATCTTGGGGGAGGAGAGTAGAACAGAAATAAATTAAATTAAATTACCTTTTACTTCATAAGACCTGTGATTTTATTCCCTTCTCACAATGAAGAAGTTTCACTACCTTCATAAACCACTACCTTCATAAACCAATTTTTAGTAAAACACTGTGACCCAAGTAATTTATTCTCTTGGTTAACTATCATTTAAATAGTACTGTGCATTTATTTGTACTCTGGTTTCTTTCAGTGGAAAAAGAAATTCAGGAAATAAGATCTGTGCACCTTGTATGTGGGGTGGTGTTGTTTCTTAGGTTTTCTCTGTGAAAGGAGCTAAGAAGCACATACATGTGAGCCTATTTCAAAGCATTAAGGGAAAAAAACAACTTCCATGTTTCCACGAACATTCTGAGGTACCTTCATCTATGTATGGATACACACATACATATCATATACACATCTAGAACTCAGGATGGGGTCAGCACTGTGGCTTAGAAGGTTAACCTGCTGCCTATAGCACTGGCACCCAATATGGGAAGTGTTTAAGTCCCAGCTGCTCCACTTCTGATCAAGTACTCCGGTGATATGCCTGGGAAAGCAGTGAAAGATGGTCCCTGCACACACCAAGGACACCCAGGAGAAACTTCTGCCCTTAGCCTGGCCCAGCCCCAGCTGCTGTGGCCATCTGTAGAGCAAATCAGTGGATCAAAGTCTTCTACCTCTGTTTCTCTTTAATTATTTGAGACACAGAGTTCTGGGCACAGTGCAGTAGCCTAGTGGCTAAAGTCGTCGTCTTGCATGCGTCCACTTCCCATCGAGCTCCTTGCTTATGGCCTGGGAAAGCAGTAGAGGACAGCCAACCATGTGATAGACCAGGAAGAGGCTCCTGGCTCTTGGCTTCAGATCAGCTCAGGTCTGGCCATTGTGGCTACTTGGAGAGTGAACCAGCGGATGGAAGATCTTTCTTTCTTTTCTTTTTTTAAGATTTATTTATTTTTATTGAAAAGGCAGATACACAGAGAGGAGGAGAGACAGAGAGAAAGATCTTTCATCCAATGATTCACTCTCCAAGTGACCGCAATAGCCGGAGCTGTGCCAATCCAAAGCCAGGATCCAGGAACCTCTTCCGGGTCTCCCACACGGGTGCAGGGTCCCAAAGCTTTGGGCCGTCCTCGACTGCCTTCCCAGGCCACAAGCAGGGAGCTGGATGGGAAGTGGAGCAGCCAGGACTAGAACCAGCACCCATATGGGATTCTGGAGCCTTCAAGGCAAGGACTTTAGCTGCTAGGCCACCACGCTGGGCCCTGGAAGATCTTTCTGTCTCTCCTCTCTGTAAATCTTCCTTTCCAATTAAAATAAATAAGCCTTTTTAAAAAAAGAAAAACAGGGGGAATTTTGAGACACCTACCTGGCAGCAGCAGCAGGCAACCCCGTAGCAGGCTCTAGGGACTTGGGGTTATGGACTTACAGGGGACATGGGGGATGGCACAGTTGGGGCGAGTGGGGACCTGAGGGTTCATGCCCAGGTGAGGAACTTCCATAGACAAAGAAACTGTACTTGCACATAAGCCAGGAGGCTGAGACCTACTGGTTTGAGGGGGTAACGGGAGGACCTTTAAGGGTCAGACCAAAGTACCTGCACACGTGTGAGACCTGAGCTGGGGTAGTTAGCATCGGCCATCATTGAATACCACCCACTGACACACACTAAAGCTAGGGCTGGGCGCGTGCCTGACAGAACTAGGTCATAGTACCCACAAGTGAGAGTCACAACAGGGGATGAGTAATGTAAGCCTGGGCCATGATACTAACCAGCACACTGGAGAATCAGGACTAGAGGCAGAAATTTGTTGAGGGGGCGTATGTGGGCTCACTGTTGCAGAACTACACTCTCCATCGGTATGCACGAGATCTGTGGCTGGGAGCTAAAGGAACAACATGCCTGGGTTGGAGTTCCCACTGGTGAATGCCAAGAGCCAGAATGGGGGAAGCGGGCTGGGCTGGACATGGCTGGCAATCTCCCTCAGCATGGAAGTGGACTCGGTCTGGGGCGTGCCAGACCAGGCTAGACTCCAGCACCCATTGGTGCTCGTGAGTGCCAGGGTGAGTGTAGAATGGACTGGGCTAGGTCTCAACTCCCGCTGAACCATGTGAGAGCTGGATCTGGGCATGGACCAGGTGTGGCTGGATTGTAAGACACAGCAGTAAGAACCAGAATGGGTGTGGGCTGGTTGGACATGGACACTGTTCCTGTCAGGACAAGAGGTGGAGTGAGTCCAACCAGGACCAAGGACCCATTGCTGTGCACGAGATTTGCCACTGAGAGGAGACCTGAAAGAACAGCTTGGGAAACTCCTTTGTCAGGATGTGGTCCTTGTAAGTGAGCACAAGAACCAAGGCAAGGAGCAGCCCAGATCAGGCTAGGTTACCCACCAGCATACATATGGGTCAGATCTTGGGGTGGGCCAGGCTGGGCCAGTTCACAACATCCACTGGCACATCTAAGAACCAGGAACGGGTGCAGGAGGAGATGGGTTAGGCTACAACACCAGCCAGTTCACATTAGGGCCAGGACTGGAGTTGGCTGGGACAGGCTAAGCTGTAGCACTCACCAACATGAGCTGCAGCTGGAAGCAGGCTGGACCGATGCCAAAGTGAGGTAAGTCATGCCAATTTGTGTGCATCTGTGTGCAGCCATGCCAATCTGTGAGCCCTGGGGGGGGGGAAGGGGATCCGGCAGGGCCCGGGTTCCCTGGCCTGGGTTCTCAGGCCGGCCTGAATGATAGTTACTGGGTCCATGAGCTCCAGGACCGAAAGTGGCTTTTGTTGGGGCCCAGGTCACCTGGACTAGGTCCTTGGGTCCAGTTGTGAGAACTGGTGCCCCTTAGTATAAAATAAAAGATAGAGCAACAGACAACAGGCTCTAATGTGCTTGGAGGATATGGCAGCCCATTGGGACCTTTAGAGAACATCTGGTACCATACCAGAGGAAGGAGAACAGAACAAATTGGACAACTGCCTCAGCCAACCAATGACAGCAAAAATCTGGGTGAATGGAGACTCTAAGGGTGACTGTATTAGCCAATGAACATTGGAAGGAATTCCTCATCCTTGGAGCATTTCAGACCTATAGAAGCCACTTGGGCAGAACTCTCAGAGTGGAGTGTGTGCCACATCAGGACCCTGGGTTGAATACAAGTAGCTGTTATCCATCTCTGGGTACTTGGGTGGTTAGGAGGCTGGGTATGACCTCTCACCTTATTCTCCCCCTTCCTCCAGAAACAGAAAGAAGAAATAGAAAATTTGGAAAGATCACACCCACTTTTCCCTAACTTCAATCCTTCCCATCCTGATCAACTTTGTAATCATTATCAAAAATAAAAATTAAAACTTTACATTAAAAAAAAAAGGTCCATACAAATCTTAAAAAGAAGAAAATGTGAGTTCACATTGATTCTCTTTATCCAGTCTAGAAGAACTAGAAGAACTAGAGTTCTTCTTTGCCTTTCCCCATTCCACATTTATAATTCTGTTCTCAGGGAGAAATCTCACTCTCATTCTTTCCTCAATATACTGACACATTTGTTGCATTCACTTCTCTGCTCAGTGCAAATCCTCTAGCCAACTCTTTTACATGTCATCTCTGAACCCCTTGGCCCCAACTCCCACTTATGCTGAGAACACACCAATGCTGATCCTCCCTGCCAACAACTGTTCCTATCCAAGACAGTAAGGGGAGGGAATAAACAGATGGGAAAACAAGCTAACTCAGTCATGCTTTTTAATAGTTGTTCCTTCCCCTATTACCTACCCTTTAACATATCCCCTCCTCATGGTTATCCACCTTAAGGAATGGATAATATGTGCTTTTGCAAATCTGATTTCATCATTAAACAAAGCGTAACTGGAAAGAAACAGTATTCAACTGCTAAACTGACCATCAACTTGACCCTCAAAAAAATCATAGTAATAACAAACCACACCAAGCCTTTTTGAAGAAGGGAAAAAAAAGAAAAAACAACTTAAAACCATTTTGAATGAAGAGCACATGTAAGATTTGGCCAAACTATCAAAAAGCATGTTAGAAGGCCACCACAGGCGGCCACATTCTGCATCCCTTCAGTGCTTAGGGAGTCCACAGAAAGATGTTCAAGCCATGACTGCATAAAAGCTGAGAGAGTTAAGAATCCGCCTGCCTAGCCAATAGTGTTAGATAACAGGGTGGGAAGGCCAGCTGTTGGCAGGAAACACTGAATCTGCCAAGGACACAAAGCAACTGACATCTCCTAACAACTTCCGTTTTTGAGTGACTACTGTATTCTGACTGAGAAGCCTTGGGGTTTAAAGTCATAGGTTATTGAGAAGTTTTCAGTATGACTACATTTGGAAGAACGGAGTGTCCAACTCTTGCCTGAAGGATCTAAATTGCTTTGATGCAGGGAGGTAGCCTTGGTTCCCAGTCCAGGAGCACAGCTTCAGTGAAGGCCTTTCTGAAGACAACATGCCAAACATGTTACGTTGTTGTAGTTTCTAAGATTTCAGTAACCTGTGTCCACTCTGAAGTGTAGACCAGGAGTTAATTAAAACCCATTATGCAATCGTTCCTCAGCCTTTTGGCTAAGATCGAGTGAAAAACCCATTACACAAACCTAACAAAACGCTGTTTCATTTCAGTTTCACCCAAACTCTATCCTTCAGATGCTATCATTTTATTTTTTCTTCTTTTTGGTATGAGGTCCTCAGGATACCTATTGTACAGTCTTTTATTGAAACAAACCAATAACTCAACTCTAAGTTTGCCTTTAAAGTTTGGCTGGACAAAAGCAAAGTAACAACTGCAGGCTAAAATATTAAACTCCTATAGTTCACAGTAATTTATATAATGGCAGGGGGAGATAATTAGTTTATTTAAGGAACACAATTTTAGTTATCATAGAGGAGAGTTCAGGGAATATGAAAACATAAATGTTGTTTTCTTCATTAACTAATCAAAGGTTACACACTTTTCTTATAGCTAAGCAGAGAAAGATCTATTGTACAAAGGTGGGCTTCTTCTCACCCCTGAACTTCTTCTCACTGCTGATATTCCCAGTTCAAATGCCCCCTATACCACACTGCCCCCTATACCACACTGCCCCCCCAAAGTGAAACAAATATTTCGATAATTAATCATCAGCGATTCTTTGAGAAAAATGAAATTGATTTCCTACAAAAATAGTATTAGACATAAATAACTGCCTATTAAGAGTTTTGGTGTCCTACTTCTTCCATGGCTATTTAGCTTTATGGTCATACAGAGGAAATGTAAAAGCCACTGGAATTTAAACGGCAGACAAAACTTCTCTAAACTACAATGGCTTTGTTAGTTCAACAAATGTTACCTTAAACTCTGACAGCCACTCCTCCACGATGCCTTTCTCTGAAGTGAACATCTTTCCACATCTGCTCTAGACCTTCAACCTGAAAATTAACATAGGAAAAAAGTTAGAATTTTGAATATATTTCTTTGATCATCTGATTAAAATGAAAAGAGGTAATCTGGTACAATAAAGGAGCTCATAGCAAGCTTCAAATGACTAGATTTATTTCAAAACTAATGTGCACAAACCAGCCTTAAAACCCAAGAATTCTGACACAAGTATAAATACTGCAACATGATGAAGTGGGCTCTGTAGCTTTCAGAATGGCTTCTAGGAATGCCACCCTCAAACACACTGGATATTTTCCCCCAGCTGCAATCAAACAATTTCAAAAATATCCCCATCTTAAGAAGACTGTAAGAAACATTTAAAGACTGTGAAAAATGCAAAAAGATGTGTCCAAAATTGGCTCTATAGAAAGCAATTTGATTATATTATCAGTTTTTCCTTGCAACAGTAATTAAGAAAGCCATTTTGATTCTTGAAAAATACTTACTTAAAAAGTAAAAATGACAACATCTAAGATGATGGTCTGCCAGCCTAAGAAACAAACAAACAAATAAAATTATCTGAATAATGATGTTTGTTAGCAATAGCAGAACACTGCAGTGGAAATATGCACCGGCAGTAAACTGTGGGCATATTCAAGGAAGCCAAGGCAAGGCAAAGTTTTCCAAGGCAAACATGAGAAGGACTTCCTCTGGTATTTTGAAACATAATCTCTGGTCACGAGGAGTAAGGACAAGAGTGCTGCTAGTCTAAGGGTGGTGGAGCAGAGAGTAGATGTCTATCCCCAGAGCGTTGCTTGGGCAAGCGTGTGGCTCTGGTCGAGTCACCATCAGGCAGTCACGTACCAGTCTTGATAAGCTCCCAACTTTTTAAAATCAATTAATTAATTAATTTTCATGAAAGTTGACACAAGCAACTCCACTGTGATTCTGACAACTCCCATGTTCTGTTCAGAGACCCTATTTGACGGCAGTTACTCAGAGAATTAGCCTTTACTTAAACACAAAAGAGAAATGCACCAAGCTAAAGAACATGCAAAATAGTTTCACACTGGGCAAAATTTGTCCAAGTACTGTACTTTTCCTCACCTAGCCATCTGTACAGGAACAAACTTTAGAAACCCTTTCTTACAGGACTTTAGTTCCGCCTAAACTTCCTAACCTCCCAATTCAGGTACAAAATCTGCATTAAGTTTCTGAATTGTCAACAGTATAATAATGTAGTAAAAACTGAAGCAGAACTGCCGAAAACTGAATCCTGACTCAATTACTTACTTGTAGTATAAACTTGGGCAAGGTATTTGCCTTGCTTTTTTTCTACTGTGACACAGGGATAAGACTGCAAGTATTTCCAAGGGGTTAATGTGAGGATTAGACTTTAAAATGCAAACAAAAGCACTTATCACAGTATATAAATGATAAAGGACTATTATGCAGTATCATTAAACAATGTTGCTAACTCAGTTAACCTTTGCTCAACTGTCTATCAAAGCACACAGATGAATAACACAGGTTCTTGCTACCGAACATACCCTCAAAGTTCTGCTATAAATTCTCATGAAAACATATTTAACAGAAGTTCATATATAATATGCATATATATATTCATATAACATACTCATCTGTATGTAGATAAATATACATGTGGTACATACATATGAGGAATCTACAAAAAGTTCATAGGAAATATGTATTTTGAAGAAACTACAAATGGACTTATAAATAGATATATTTCTTAATTGTATTTTTCCACGCTCTTTTAAGCACCCTACAATATTTACTCATTCACAAAGAATCACGTGAATGACACACATTTATTAGAATAAATGATAAGCAAAATTATCCTTGAATCAAGTCAAGCTATCAGAAAATCACATAACTATATCCTATTATTGATTTGATAGAACTATCTACTGGCATAAACTTTGAATTTCTGTTCAAAATACCAATGTAAATATTGCTAGATCAATTATTATCCCTTAAAAGCAAATAAGGAAGAAAATTTACACCCTTAGTTTTCACCATTAGGAAAAACTCCTGACAAGTAACTGGTTTGCTGTTATATTCAAAGATTGTGAATCACCTAACTTTGCTTTGATTCTAACAAATCAAATGGGGGCCACAGGTTCTGCCCTGTCCACAAAAGGCCACGCTGAAATCCTACTGGCTGTTTTATTTTATATTCTTACCATTATTTTCTGTCTGCCTGTATCTACTCAGTATTTTCCTCTTGTTTTACATTTGTGAAGTAAATGTAAATGCACATAGATTTCTGTATACATTCTGCTATCTAATAAACTCAGGAGAGAACAGTCATCACAAGTAGAAACACCTTAACATATTACAAAGATATTGGCAGATAACATTTTTACAAAAATTTAAAATAACTCTGAAGTTAAAATTAAAGCTACTCTTAAAAGGATTAGAAAGAACCAATAGGAACATGCCAAAGACCAAGGATATCCAATGCAATCTTGAGAAGCCATGAGGCTGGAGCACTTGGATTTGAAGGTTTCAAGACTCATAACCAAACTCCCCAAACCACAGTAACTAAGGCAGTGTGGTACGGTCAGAAGAACAGAAAAATAAACATGAAGAACAGTTTGGACAGAAATAGATCTACACACATACAGTCAATCAAATTATGATGAAAGTGACACTAAATAAGAAATTACAACACCAGGGGTTGGGCCAACTGTATAGCTTCATGGGGACAAGGGAGGGAAAGAGCCACGACCTCTCCAGCTCACAGTGCAAGCAATGGCCAGTTCCAGGTGAATCATAGACCTAAATGTGTGTTTTATAAGAAAACACAACCGAATCCTTTCATAACCTTGGGGTAAGCGAAGATTTCTTTTTTAAATAGGCAGAAAAGCACTAATCGTAATGCAGGGAGGAGGAATAAAATGACCTTCATTAAAAGTGAGAACTTCCTATTTATCAAAAGGTATTGCCAAGAGATTGAAAAGGCAAAGTCATGAGGTGGCAGAAGATATTTGCAATTCATATATTTGAGACAAATGTCTGATAATCAGAACATACAAAGGACTCATAAATGATTCAGAAAAAAAGCAGACAATTCAATAGGGGAAAAAAAGCATCACCTGTCCAAGTAGATTAAAAAACAAGGTGCTCAATTTCATTAGTCAACAGGGAAAATACTAAAAGCCATAATGAAACACAACACCATCATCTTCAACAAGAATGGCTAGAATGAAAGACAGGTCTTACCAAATATTGAAAAACGATATTTTGCAATCAGGATACTCAACAAAACTAGTATAAACACAAATTGGCACAACATCTGAAGCATTTTTTGGTAAGAGCTATCCTGTCTAACTGAATACATGTATACTCCAGGCACACAGCAAGGCAACATAAAAATACTCCACAAAACTGTGGACATATGTTCTCTGAAGGATATATCCAGGAATCTTTATCAGAAAAGCAGCTCTTTTTATTTTTTTTTAATAGCCAAAAACTAAAAACAAACTAAATGTTCATCAAGAGTTGAGGCCCAGCACGGTAGTGTAACTAAAGTCCTTGTCTTGAACACACCAGGATCACACATGGGCGCTGGTTCTAATCCTGGCATCCCCGCTTCCCATCCAGCTCCCTGCTTGTGGCCTGGGAAAGCAGTCCAGGATAGCCCAAAGCCTTGGGACCCTGAAACCATGTGGGAGACCAGGAAGAGGCTCCTGGGCTCCTGGCTTCGGATTGGCACAGTTCCAGCCATTGCGGCCGCTTGGAGAGTGAATCGTTGGATGGAAGATCTTCCTCTCTCTCTCTCTCCTCTCTGTATATCTGTCTTTTCAATAAAAATAAAATAAATCTTAAAAAACAGTTGTATGCATATCTTACAGTATACTATACTCAACAAAAAATAAATGAATAAACCAGCCATGAGATACTTTAAAAAATTTGTGGAAATGGATTTTAAGAGAAGTCTATTTTCTTTCTTTTTTTTTTTTAAGATTTATTTATTTATTGGAAAGTCAGATATACAGGGAGGAGGAGAGACAGAGAGGAAGATCTTCTGTCCAATGCTTCACTCCCCAAGTGAGCACAACGGCTGATGCTATGCCGATCTGAAGCCAGGATCCAGGAACCTCTTCTGGGTATCCCACATGGGTGCAAGGTCCCAAAGCTTTGGGCTGTCCTCGACTGCTTTCCCAGGCCACAAGCAGGGAGTTGGATGGGAAGTGGAGCTGCTGGGATTAGAACTGGCGCCCATATGGGATCCTGAGGCGTTCAAGGCGAGGACCTCAGCCGCTAGGCCACGCTGCTGGGCCCAACAAGTCTATTTTCAAACAAAAATATTTTGGGGGCCTTTGCTGTGGTGCAAAGTTGCCACCTGCAACCCTGGCATCCCACATGGAACCACGCTGAGTCCCAGCTACTCCACTTCTGATCCAGCTCCCTGTTAATGGCTCAAGGGTTTGGGCCTCCACAATCCATGTGGGAGACCTGAATGAATGTCTTGGCTTCTAGCTTCATCCAGGCCCAGCCCAGGTCGTTGCATCCATCTGGCAAACTAACCAGTTCATGGAAGATCTCTCTATCTCTCCCTCCCTCCTTTTGAATTACCAAGTCAGGCAAGAATACCATGCTTGGTGGAATAGGCTGGGTACAGAGTGGCAGACAGAGCAGGTCTATGTGTAGAATTCTGAAAACCTCCAGGAGCAAAGAACAGAAAGAACTGTGGTTGTCAGGGAATAGAGGGGACTACAAGGAGTGGAGAGATGGGTTCAATGGCATGAATAATTTTTGAAAATCATAAGTACAGCTTGGTGACTATAGTTAATAATGTTTTGCATATTTTTAAATGCTGAGGCAGTAGATCCTGAATGTTAGCAACAACACATAAAAAGATTAAGTATTTGAGGCCATAGTTATGCTGACTGCTTGATATAATCATTTCACAATTATAAGAGCAAAACATTCTGTTATATCAAAAATACATGTGATTTTGCCAATTATACCTTATTAAAGCTAAAAAACCTACACATGGCAAAACTTACATAATTGTTGC